CTATGACTTGTTCTTGAGTTTCCCTTCTTTTTCTACTTTGGTTCCTCCGAGCGGTTTTTTCAATCTCCGGATTAAATTCTAAATGCTCTGAAGATACCTGTCCTCTTAAACATATAAATCAAAACAGTAACTCAAACAAAGATTAGCACAAGAAAATAATTAAGAAAAATAAGACTGAAAAATAAAACAAACGGAAATAAAAATAAAATACTCAATAAGCTAAACAAAGAATTCTCAAAGAACACTGTTCCCCAATAACGGCGCCAAAAATACTTGTTGAATTATTGACAAGCATACCAAATTTATCAATTGTAGTATAGTATTTCGATTAAATAAAATTCGATCCCACGAGGAACGGTTTCAATGGAAATTCCTAAATATATGCTTACTAAGTGAATTAAAACAAATTGGGTTTTGCATAGAGAGTTGAATTGAAATTAAATGACAAAAAATGGTAAATTGTTGAGAAAAGATCAATTAAAGGCACTTAGAATTGACTTCCTTCCTTATCCTTCTTTTGTAATGACTATGTCAATTAAGAACATTAATTAACCTAACAATGTTGATGCCACCTACTCAAATCATCCATGTTGATTCCTCACACATGAAATTCATAAGAAAACCTAATAAATGTTGATTCCTCACACAATTAAGAGATTTTCCAGCATTAGGTTTAGGGTGTTAAGTAATTGATACATTCATTCCATTCCTGGAAATTAACGTAACAAATATTCTTATCGTGATCTAGGGTTCAAGATATATTTTCCAATCATATCCCAAACATCAAGAATAAATCATTCCAAAGCACAAAGGATAAGAATAACAACATCAAAACATAGATTAATATCTCAAAATATCACCATGATACAAAAGAGTTCAAAGGAAGTGCACCAAATCCCAAGAGAATGAAGTTAGTCACTCATGTTGGCCATTACAATGCTCCAAATGAGGAAGAAGTAAAGAATTGATGAAGATTAGACGAAACCCTAGCAGTAGTTGTGCCTCTTCTCCCCAAAACTGCTTCCTTTTCTCAAAACACATCTTATCTTTTTATAGGAAAAATTGGGTCTCACGTCTTTCGCTTAAGAGAAAGTTTCTTATTTTCGCTCAAGCGACAAAATGCTCGCTTGAGCGAGTGAAATCTAGAGAAGAATAACTAACATTCGCTCAAACGAATTTTCTTGCGCTTGAGTGACTAACTTCTAGAGAAGAATAACTATTATTCACTCGAGCAAGAGTTCATCCCTCTCGAGTGACTTCCATGCTGAAAATCTTCTTCCTTCTTCCAGTTTTACTCCAATTATGCTGACAGTTATGCTCCTTACTCTTGTATCAAGGTATTCTCGAATTCATCCTATATGGGGAGAAAAATATATTAGAATTAACATAAGTTAAGTGGTTTCATAACAATTCAAGACATAATTATATCAATTTTTTACCACTTAACAATTACAAGCCAAGAAAAAAATCCTATTGATCTATTGTGGTATGTGTTCTAATGGGTGGGAATTTAGAGAACTTTCAAGATTATGGTAAAGGAAGATGTCATGATATGATGATGAGTGAAATTTTCAGCCTAATTACTTGAGAGAGTAGAATAAACACTTGATTTTGAGAGGATGTTCCCTTGAATTAATTCATACACGACCATGATGATACTTCATGAGTTATGATCTTGATCTTTTTAATTCTCTCACTTTGGATTGATGAAGTTTTTCATGATCATTGTAGTTTTCAGGATGTCACTAACATTTGCAGCAGTACCCATCTTTGCATTACATGCGTGAATTCTTTTCTTTCTTTTATCTTTTGCTTGGAACTGCAAAAGAGAAAACGTGAAAAGTATTTGATGTATGACATTTTACTCTTTATTTCTTGATCTAAATGCATTTTCTAAGCTAATTATTTTTTTTCATAAACCATGCATTTAACATGTTTTCATTAAAAGTATAACATAATTCATTTTTTCTTAATTTGTTGCATTTTGCATAGTTTTAACATAAAAAAAAATAATAGACATGCATATATCCACAATGCATATTTCTCTTCTTTTTTTTTTCCTTTTTAAGAGAAAGTTAATTTGAGATAGGTCAAATTGATAGTATTAAAGCTCCAAATTGATGCAATCGTACTTCACTTTTCTTAAAAGCCCAAGTTGCTTGTGCAGTCCACTTATGAAACGTTACAAATAAAAATTTTGAATCAAGCAAATTAATTGGTGTGGGAATCCAATTTAGCTAAATAAAAGCCAACAGGAATCAAGAAATAAAAGCAAATCAGTGATGGATCACTAAAAATAAGAAAGAAGCGGATTGTTTTCTCTAAATCAGTCCCTAAAATTTCTCGTCACAACAATCTAATTTTGTAATTTTTAATTTGAGAAATATTTGATTAATTTTAGTCTTAATTTATTTTGTTCAATCCTCTATAAGTAGAGGTATGATGAGAACACAATCATAATCTCCTGTTCTAGGGAAAATTGTTATTTTGTCTCGTCCCTGTAATATTTTCCATTTTCAGTTTTTAGTTTAGTTTTTATTTAGGCTTTTCATGATCTTACAAGCACAAGATCCTACCAAGCGTTGGTATTATAAGTTGGTTTATGGAGGAGCCAAACTATTCACACTAAAAGGCGTTAAAATGAATTCTGAGGAACAATGTCACTTGGACTTTTTATACTAGATAAAACAATTACCGACTTGTTGGGTATTTAGATAGTGATCGATGTAGAAATATGGATGGTCGAAAAATTACATTGGGATACATATTTTTCATGGAAAACACAACTTTTACTTGGCTTTCGAAGAAATAAGCCATAGTGACACTATCAACGTGTGAAGTCAAGTATGTAACAACATCTTGGTGTGTATGTTATGCAGTGTGACTTAGAAATTTGTTGAGTTCATTAAAGGAATAGTAACTCAGTACGACTATGATCTGAGTTTATAACAGGTCCGCAATTGAACTGGCAAAGAACCCGAACAACCATGAGAGAAGTGAGCACATTAATGTGCGTTTTTATTTCATTTGAAAACATGTGAAGGAAGGGAATGTGAAGCTTATGCATTTGACGAGTTGAGATCAAGTTGCATATATTCACGAAACTATTGCTTATAGTTGTGTTCAAGAATTACAAGAATCTAATCGAGATGAAAAATGAAAGAAGCTCTTAGGTAAGCCAAATCGGTCAATCAACAAAAAAGAAGCTTTAAGTTACAATTCTCTAACCCTCTCATCAAAGAGTAGGTAGCGAGTCAACGTGCCAATATTTTTATAATATATATATATATATATATATATATATATATTTAAAATAAAATTTTAATTATATAAATAATTTTTAAATTTTTATTTATTAATTAATATTTTATTAGATAATTGAAATAATTATTATATTTGTGTTAAAAAATATCCAATTATAATCAATAATTTAAGTTTAACGGATTAATATTTATAATTTAAATTATAATATTATAATATATTTACATATTTCAATAATATAATAACATAACACAAAAAAAATATAATGATTTTAATTATAATATTTTTATTTAATTTTAACATGTATATTTAAAAAAAAAAACAAGTCTGTTCACTTTACTTTGCCCTTGCCTCTTGGGTTTGCAAACGGGAAACTAAAATTATCAACTTATTCAATTAATTTTGAAGTGACAGGCTAGGTTGTTAATACTAACTCATTTTGTCATCTATACACAAATCAAAAGCTTAATCTTACATATTTATAAGATTTTTCACTTATGTTACTCGATTTTCCATTTTTATCCCATATATGATTTAACTCACAATTGAACGCCAACAACAATAGTTTTATCTTGTATTGTAATTTTTTAACCCATCACTTGCATTCTTAAGGACATCTAGACAAAACAAACAAATTGTTATTCTTCTAGAAGAGAAAAAGTTGTGTTTTAGATCTTATGTAAAAAAAAAAGATAAGTTACAATTATTTTTAATAGTTCATCGATTATGTTTTGGTACTGTCTCAGTATTTAAAAGAATAATTTTTTAATTTATTTAAAAAAACATGATATTTTTATTTTTAATTGTGAAATTGATGAATTTGTAAAATCTCATGGAATTTAATTTTAATGAATTTTAAATAAATAAAAACAATCTTTTATGATCATAATGTCTAAAACTCGTCTAATATTCAAACGGTAGCGGATGTTGATGGTTTATTAGTTGTTTAGATAATGGTAAAAAATTATGAGACCATGGTTAATGAAATTAAAAATAGGTAAGTTTATTATTTTAAAAATTTAATGATCATAGTGGGAAAAAGAGAGATAGTTTGGAGATGTTTTTTTACATTATTTGCAGTTATAAAGGTAAACAAAGAATACTCACATTAGGTTTGTCTACGAGTTATAATTTGTGATATTCTTATTGGCGATAGATTCAAGTAAAGAATTACTTAAACCTAAGTTTTCAGGAAAGAATTTAGGGAAACAGCCAGAATCTTATCCAACTTTTGTGAATGAGAGGAAGAATATGGAATGATTATAGAGAAAAAGCTCTTGGACATGAAAATCTGCAAAATTTTACACATAAAAGATTGTCCATATCTAACATATATATTTATTGGGTATCAAACGGGGAAGCTTCAACGACTAAAGGAATTAATAATAGAGGCATGTGAGGCTTTAAATACTATATTTCGGGAAGTTTCCTTAGAAGATGGTCTAACAAGTAAGTTCTCATCACTAACTACGGTGGAGTTTAAGTCTCTCCCTAATTTGAACTATTTTCATAAAGGTCGAGTCAAATTCCCTAGTCTCAAATATTTGACTATAGAAAAATGTCCATCTTTGACAAAATTCCTAACCGGACATGAAATGTTCAAAACAAATGACACGTCCATCCCTGAATAACTTTGTTTATGTTATCTCTTCTAAGACATTACAAGAGTTGAGGAATTTGAAGAAAGTCTTTGTGAGTCGTTGTAAGAATTTGAATGTAATATTTCAAATCTATGAGTTTTACACCTCTCCTACAACAGCTAAATGAGCTAATTTTGGCTCATCTTCCAAGATTAACTCAAATAGTAATCAAAGATATTTTGAGGTTGTAGCTGACACTAAAAAATATAAATTTTTAATGACTAAAAGATATTATTATATTAGTGATTAAATTAAAAATTTATCATAAATATTTATCATTGACTAAATTAAAAATGGTCACTATAATTTAATAATTTAAGATTATATGTGATAATAATAATATATTTGTCATATATATTATTCATATATTAATGATTAAGTTAAAAATTATTATTGTAATTTATAAATATATATATATATATATATATATATATATATATATATTAATTATTATTTTAAAACTATGATTAAATTAAAAATTATTATCATAATTTCATTAACAATATAAAATGCATGTCACAAATAATTAATAATAAAATCAATTATTTAAATAAATAAATTAAAAATGTTGATGTTGTTATTTGAAACCTTGACAATTATAAAATGTAAACCTAATTACGTAGTTTTATATCTTTAAGAAATCATATTATGTGTAATTCTTAAATTCAAAATTTTATTTCAATAAATAAGAAAAAGTCTTTTACCTTATTTTTATATTTAGTTAAGTTAACAATTTTAATATTAAAATTGAAAAAATTATTTAAATAATATAAAAATAACAATTTTGGATTAAACTTTTAACCATATTTTTAGGAACAAAATTAATTATTAATAATGTTATTCATTATTAATATTAAGTTAACTTATTTTTATCTTTAAAGAATAAATAAGATGAAATATAACCATATTTTTAATTAATTGGAATTATTTGAATTTTATATTTAATAAAAAAATATTATTTAATTTGATCCAATTATTTTTAATTTTTATTGAATTATGTTATTTTTAAATAATTGGTTAAGAGATGCTATTAAAGGTTTTTTATTATTTTATCAAAGAATAATTAAGTAAAAATTAATGATGACTTTTTATATTAAGTAAACTTAATTACAATAGGAATAAAAAAATTTCTAATAATCATATATTCAATTGAAATATATTTTTTATTGACATATCGTATATCTCTATATTATTTTTTTCATAATTTATTTAATTCATTTTTTAAAATATTGTTAATACTCATTCTTAATAATTAAATTAATTTAATTTTATATTTAACTTTTTATATTAAATATTTTTATATTATTTTTTAAATAAATAACAATAATTATTCACTTTTAAGATAATGTACGTTATAACAATAACTTGTTATTTTATCTGAAAATTTCATATAAATAATATTTTAAATATAAAATATATTTTATTATATATGTTTGTAACTAATATGTTTAATATATATATATTTTTCAACGTTTGTTTAACATATAAAAAAACGTGATAACATGATATATATATATATATATATATATATATATATATATATATAAAATATAAAGAAATAATAAAAATGATATAAAATATAATACTTTATATTTAAATTTATTAATCATTTATTATTTTTTTGTTTTATTGTAATTATAAAAAGTATTCACTTATTTTCTATTACTTTATTACTAAAAAACTATTTTAATACTAATTTAATATATCCAATGTTTAATATTATAAAAATAAATTTTTAATTTAACATTACTATTATTATTATTTAATTTTATTGTATTAAAAGGAATTATAAAAGAATTATTTAATTTTATATTAAGAAAATATTTTGTTAATAATATTATAAAATATTCATTAATAATAATATATCATTTATCATTAAAATTTTAATTTATTTATATCAATAATAATTTATCATAAATTCATATATATATATATATATATATTCAATAAAAATATTACATTAATATATAATAATAATGAAAATATAACTCAAATCATTAAACCTTTTTATTTAATATCTTCTTATTTTTCAACTAAAAAAATATATTTTCAAAATAATATCATCGTTGTCATCTTCAACTATAAAAATATTGCCTTAATATATAATAATAATGAAAAAATATAACTCAAATCATTAAATTTTTTTATCTAATATCTTCTTATTTTTCAACTAAAACAAATATATTTTTAAAATAATATCAAATCGTAATCAACTATCATCATTGTCATCTTCAACAACATCATCACTTACTTCATCGCTTTTTTCATCGTCTATTAAATCAATACTTTCAATATCTATTTCTTCTTCTTCATCGATAACTTCCATACAGACCACTGGATTTCTGTTAGTTGCTGATTGAGCTAAGTCATTTCTATCTAAAGATAACACATGTTTATTATATGATACATCATTAGATGTAAAAGATATATAACAAATAGAATCATTTTCCTGACATACCTCATGTATAGCTTCCTCAAACATATCGAATAAGTCTCAAGCTTTTGTTTTTACTACAACAAGTCAATTAGAATCATGGGTGTCTTTTACATAGTACACTTGTTGAGCTTGACTAGCTAGGACATATGGTTCATTAGTCCTTAATTTACGATTATTATTAATGAGAATAAATCCATACTTATCTTCCTTATATCCTCTCCCTTTGGAACACACATCCCACCACTCACATTTAAATAAAACAACATTGTTTCTACCTGAGTAACTTAATTCAATAATATCTGTCAAGACACCAAAGTAATCAAGATTACCTGCATTTTCGTCACCTGTAACTAAAACTCCACTATTTTGTGATTTCAAGTGCATATCACCATCCTTTATATGAAACCTCCAACCATTTATCAAATAACTTGTGCATCAAAGTATCATCTCCATAAGAAAAGCAAAATAATGATTCATTTATACTTTTATCCTCTTCTTTCTTTAAAACTGTAACTTGTTCAATTTAAAATGTAATTTTAATATTTTGCAACTTATACAATGGCAGAACAAAAAGAAGAAGAAGAAACATATGTACATATTTTTTGAACCAGTGAAAGAATTATTTTTTATGTCTTTGTTCCACATTTTGTGAATTTGTTTTTTGCAATTCTTTCTTTTTTGTAACCTGATCATAAAATGCAAGAATACAATAAATTATAGTTTTATAATAATAATATAAATATGTAATTTAAGAAAATCACTTTCTCGAATAAAAGGTGAGACTTCATCACAATTTTGAAGAATAGAAATTCTTGTTTGCTCTTATTCTACTATATTTAGATCAACATATTTTTTTCCATGTAATGATTTTCCAACTTCTAAAAAAATTTTCAACTTTGATTTATTTAACTGATCAAGATCACCTTCATAATTTCTGTCATATCTATTCAATCTTGTTTCAACTCCATGCAAATACCTTGAACAAAAGTAAACACACTCTTGTGTAATATAAGCTTCAGCAATACATCCTTCTGGACAAGCCTTATTCTTCACATATGATTTAAGCCTATGAAGGTATCTTTCAATAGGATACATTCAACGATATTGTACTGACCCAACAATCTTTGCCTCATCTACTAAGTGAATGGGTAGATGGATCGATCATTATGTCAAAAAAAGAAGGAGGGAATATTTTTTCCAATTTACACAAAGTCAAAACTATAGTTTTTTTCTAGAAAGCTTAGACTCTCTAAACTCAATGTCTTAGCGCATAACTCTAAAAAAAAAACTTAGTTCAATCAAAGCTTCACAAACTTCCTTTTGAAGAACACCACGAATCGAAAGAGGGAGAAAACAATATAAAAATACATGATAATCATGACATTTTATCCCATATATTTTCCCTCCTTGGATGTCTATACAACAAAAAATATTAGATGAGTAACCATCTGGAACCTTTAGATCAACAAGAAATTGAAGTTAGTTATCGTGCTACACCCTATTTTTATAAATTGAAGTTAGTTATTATTTTAATTTTAGATTTTATAAATTATAAAGATAAAGTTAGTTATCGTGCTACACCCTATTTTTATATTAACTTGATTTTATTTTAGAAAATTACAGGTTGAGTTTCTTAAATTTATAATTTATATTTAAGTAAATAAGGAAAAATATCTTATTAATTTTAATTCTATTTTTTTCTAATATAACTACTTTAATATTTAAATTAAAAAATAATATAAACATAATAACATTTTATATTTAATTATATTATTTAAAATAATAAAAACACATTATAATACTAACCTAATCAAATTGTTGAACTATATATATCCAGATAATTGTCTCAGAGGTGGTCTTTTTTTCTTTCTTTCCATCAAAGACTTTTGCATTATTTCTCCAAGAATGGTTAAGTGGCAAAAATCGACTACTTCCCATATAAAAAACTTTTTTTCCATTCGGTAAACTTAGGGATCATGTATCCTCATTACAACCAGGACAAGCAAATAATCTTTTGGTGCTCCATCCTTGTAGATTCCCATATGTGAAAAAATCATTAATAGTCCACAAAATTGATGCATGTAACCGAAATGTTTCTTTCATTGATGCATCATTTGTTTCTACACCGTTCTCTCATAATTCTTTCAATTCATCAATCAAAGGTTGTAAATACACATCAATATCATTTTTAGGAGATTTTGGACCTAGAATAAGTGTTGACATTATGAAATAAGGATCTTTCATATACATCCAAGGTGGAAAGTTATAAGGAATTAAAGCTACGGGACACACACTTTCTGATGTACTCATATTTCCAAATGGATTGACCATCATCACTTGCTAGGCCAAGTCAAACATTGCGTGAATCTGTCGCAAAGGATGGATATTGTAAATCAAAATTGTTCCAAGCAATAGAGTCCGCTGGATGTCTCATTTTTCCATCTTCATGACAAGGCCTATCTTTGTGTCATCTCATTTCTTTAGCAATATTAGCGGATAGATATAATTGTTGTAACCTTGGGGCTAAAGGAAAATAACGCATAATTTTTTGGGGTAACTTTTTATCTAAATCCTTATATCGAGGAAATTTACATGTTGGACAAGATGTTGATTTCAAATAATCACCTTAATAAAGAATGCAATCGTTAATACAAGCATCAATAAAGCAATAAAGCAAGTTCACGAATAATGCAATCCTTATATCATGTCCAAGTTCACGAATAACTTTTCAAGTCTGACCTAGGAACTTTATTCTCTTGTGGAAAGGCTTTTACCAATAAAGCAAGTAAGACATCAATTGTTTTTGCACTCAAACCAAATAGACATTTGATATTTAATAATTGAACAATAAATAATAATTTTGAGAAATTTTCACAACCAGGATATAGTTTCTCTTCAACATCCTCTAATAGTTTATAAAACGTTGATGTTTTTTTCATTCATCTGCTTACTCTTTGGACTTGTATCACTTGTTTTTTTGTTTTCTATGTTACCTTCAACATTAAAAGCACTTCTAAGATCATGTAACATATTATAAATCTCCTCATTATAGTTTTGTTTATCACCATCTTTGTGATGTTCCTTCACTACTTCTCCATAAAAATCACATATAACATAATCTCTTCTGATCCCAATTGTGATTAAGTGCTCATATATGATTCTTTTAGACCGAAATAAGTTATTGTTACATCTTTTGTACGGACAACGAAGTAACTCGGTCTTCATCAAACACGGTAAATGAAAATTCAATAAAATCAAGAACTTCTTTTTCATACAAAGGTTTTGTCCTATCAAGAATTACATCCAACTTTTATCTAACTCCATAACTAAAAATAAAAAAAATTATATTATTAATTTTTGAAAAGTTAAAAATATATTGAAGAATCAATGAAAAACTTAGAATCAAAACATGTAAAATTATAAAATAAATAACTAAAAATACTAAATTGTTTTACCTTCTAGCAAATTTGTAATTTTCCCTCTTCGATTTCACACTTTTTTTACCGTTAATTATGTTCTTATTAGAGCCCTAAATTTTATATTTTTAAAAAAGTTAGTTTTATAAATATTTTTGTTTTAATTTTTAAAATCATTAGTTGATATTTACGTTTAAAATCATGTTTAATTTTTTAAAATATTTAAATAATTATATAAAACAAATAATATTCTTATTTTAATCCATACATTTTATATTTTTAGTTTAATAAATAATTTTGTTTTAACTTTTAAAATAATTGATATTTACGTTTAAAATCATGTTTAAATTTTTAAAATATTTAAAGAATTATATAAAACAAATAATATTCTTATTTTAATCCATACATTTTATATTTTTAGTTTTATAAATAATTTTGTTTGAACTTTTAAAATCATTGATATTTACGTTTAAAATCATGTTTAAAATTTTAAAATATTTAAAGAATTAAATAAAACAAATAATATTCTTATTTTAATCTATAAATTTTATATTTTAGTTTTATAAATAATTTTGTTTTAACTTTTAAAATCACGTTTAAAATCATATTTAAATTTTTAAAATATTTAAAAATTTATATAAAACAGATAATATTCTTATTTTAATCCATAAATTTTATATTTCAAAACAAATTTAGTTTTATAAATAATTTTATTTTAATTTTTCAAATTATTAGTTAATATTTTTAAAATTTTAAAATATTTAAAGAATTATATAAAACACATAATATTCTTATTTTAATCCATAAATATTTTATATTTAAAAACTTTTATAAATAATTTTTTTTAAATCATTAGTTGATATTTACTTTTAAAATTATGTTTAAATTTTTAAAATATTTAAAAAATTATATAAAACAGATAATATTCTTATTTTAATCCTAGATTTTATGTTATAAAGACAAAGTTAGTTCGTGTCATACCTATTTTTTTTAAATATTTTTTTAATTTGACAATCGTTTTATTTATGGAATCTTTCAGTTATCTTTTCTTATTATTTAATTAATTTAAATCACATCAAAATCTTAATTAATAAATTAGAAAAATATTTCTTATATTAAATAACAAGTAATGAAATAAGAACGTTAAGAAAGTCTTAATTAAAAAATATCATTATTTATTAAGATATTTTATTTATTTTATGTGTGTAATTAATATAGTAGATATATATTTTTTAAATTCTCTTGTAATTTTTTTAAAATATAATATTTTATTTATTTATAATAAATATTATGATAATGGAATTATATTAGGGTTGTGTTTCCAACGTAACATTTATCTTTTCTCCCACTAATTGATAATTGTTCATATGATGAAATTTGAGCGCTCACATCTTCAACTCGAGGAATTAATTCTTCTCTGCACAATTTTACGGTTAATTGAGGGAAATTTTTGGCGCTCACAAATTGCCTCCAAAACATAGAGTAAATCTCAACAATCAAGTCTCAATTTAAATCTTCATTGACAATGGGAATCTCACCATCTCAGTAACTTAAACTCACAGCAATCGGTTCTGTAACCCTTCTCAGAGTCTCAACCCCTAACTTTTGACAGCAACATGTTTCGCAGCC